CATCATGTCACAAATATGTATGTGCATTTGTTTCATGATCTCATTAACGATAGCCAAATGGGGGCCGCTTTAAGGCCGAAAATGCATTGAAATCGCACATTTTCACCATTCCGGACCCGTATCTCAGTTATGCATGGATGGATTTTGTTCAAATTTGGTACATACATTAAACATAATAGGACCTTGATGCACGTCTTTTTTTTTTTTCGGATCAAATTCGAAATGGCCGACTGGCGGCCATTTTGTTAAAGAATTCAGTTCTGGATCCGTATCCAAGACATGTCTGGATTGATCAAGTTCAAACTTCACACACACATGGTACATCATGTCACAAATAGATATGTGCATTTGTTTCATGATCTGCTTAACAATAGCGGAATGATGGCCATTTTAAGGCCGAAAATGCATCAAAATCACATATTTTCACAATTCCAGAACCGGATCTCAGTCATGCATGGATGGATTTTGTTCAGATTTAGCACAATGTGTTGTACATATGCAGGTGCATTTCGGTCATGATCTGCTTTGAATGTATATGTCACTCAAATATGAACGGAACGGGGACGTGTCATTGACAATGACTTGTTTTCTTATATTTTACATTCAACTTGCCAAAAATCAGTGAAAATAAATTCCATACAAAAACAGCCAAAAAATCTTTTCACCAAAAATTAATTCCAACTAAAATAAAGTATTTTACAATTAAAATTTCATTTTTAATGAATATTTTTTGCATTTTGCTTCTATTGAGTATTTTGCCAGAAAAAATAAATGCTCTTGTAATTGTAACTTGTGTGCTCAGGTGAAAACACTATGTAAAACAAGTTCTCTCTCATAGCTTAAAGCCTGTTGATTACAGTATAATCACAATAAAGGCATAACAACCTCATCTTTCAATATTGATTTTGTCATTCCCTGAGTGTAACCTACTGCTTCATGATATTAATCTCTCCCACATTAACACACACACACACCCGTTAGTGGTTAACGGTAACATAATTTCAACCAATTTGACATTCAACTAATTTTGCCTTACTTGTTTGTAAAGCCTCCCACCCATCCACCCCCACCCCACTTATCATGTCTAGAATCTCAAATACTTGTAAGATGGAGGCTAACTATACATTTCTTTCTGTCATAGGTGCCGTATGAAATACTAAATAAGAAGTTTCGCAATGCCCAGAAGAATATCGATCGTGAAGTCTCGCATGTACTACACGTTACTAACGAGTTAGAAAAATGCCTTGAAAATAAACCTGTTACAGTTGGTACAGTTGCCAGTTTACTTGACTCAGTGGTGGACAAATTGACAGTACTTAAAAGAAAGGTATGGCATGTAACATTATCAACACACACATGCATACTGGACAAAAACTAGATCATTGTCTTCGCATAATTTCTCCTCCGTGCTAGCTTCAAGCCAGCTTCATTTTGACAGCACGTATGTTACAATTTAGTGCAGAGTCAGCCAAGAAAAGCTCCTGCCCTAGATAGTAGAGTGTTTCTAGTACACAGTAGATTAGGTCAGCAACTTGTAGGTTCTTTCAAAATTAGTTCATGCTCACCTACTCCATCCAACAGTCAACATTTTGCGTATTTATATGTATTTTTTTATCATTTCTTTGTTAATTTTGGGCAAAATTTATCATTGGCTACATGTTTTGATCAAAAAATTTAGAAAAATTTATGTTTTTTTTTGTGTGAAAAATACTGAAAGTTGTCTTAAGCATTCAGAAGGTTAAAGTAATGACCTGTCCAACTCTCGACTGGATGAAAAAAACATTGGCAAAACGCACCTAGTGCTTCTTGACCACTCAGAGTGTTCCATTGTTGGACTTTATATGTATAATACAGTAAATGTCCTGTTGTAGGATTTGTATACAGATCACATGACATCAAAGACTCAGAGCTCACATAATGTTCTAAAAGACACATTGCTCATTGAGCTATCTGAAACTTCATGGATATTTCATTGTATGATTTTCGTTTTAGATTCTAAAAAGTTGTCATTATGCAGATTTTACTGATACCTGACTCAATTTCAATATGCACATTGTATGAGAACAATGACCACAAATTACGAACACATGTCTTGCATTCATGCAAATCTCAGGGGTGAAGCCACGTCACAGAACGTTCTATGTTGCTTGGACGCGCACCGCAAAACAATGTCGTGGAGCCAGTGAAAACATCTAAAGTTGAGAAAACTGCCCAAATCCTGAGCAACCAAATTAATATATGTTGCACATGTAGGTGTAGTAATGTTCTGTGATGTTCAGGCGAGTCTCGACAACTAGCCCAAAGTAACGTGTCCATGGAGTTTTCAGCTTTTGTTTACACTGGTGATGGTTGCCAGGTAGTAAAAATACCCGGATGTCCACCCGAGAATACAAAACAAATGTTTAAGGACTTTTATGGCATATTCCATTTGAAAATAGGACATTGTCTTTTTTTCCATCAGAATTTCTTCAAAAGTCTGAACATTTTCACCAAATACTTTTCCTTAGATTTTTAGTGGGCAGATAAGCTAGATGAAGCTCTCCTACTTCTAGGGTATGAAGTCCCCCTTCCCCTTCCAATGATAAAATGTCTTGTCCTGCAGTCTTAACATTTTATCTTGAGTCGAACGTTAACACAAAAAGATTTCTCGTAATCTGGCTTTATCCTCTACATACAGTATTCATTTCGCCCAACCTTCCACTTTTACCGCTTTTTAATCGACTGCTTATCGCCTAATTTCTGACCATGCGGTCTTGTCCGACTGGAAACTGACCACATTTTAATCGCCTTTTTTCCACTCGCTCATTGAAAACACCGACTGCTCGCCCAAACACTGATCACTGGCACACGAGTAGTTGAAATGGTTGTTTTGATAGTAAAGTGTGAAGATACAACTAGTATTAAATATCATTATACATCTGTCACTGTAATGCCATAAGTTACAGCGTGCCATAATTTTGCGGTATTTTATGGGGTATTTTCATCCTACCATATAAGGAAATGCAAATTCCAAATATGGAATGATTACGTGGTGTGTAAGCGTTCTCTAATAATAAAAACAAATATGGTTGCCATCAGGTTTTGACCGGACCTCACACAAAGAAGTATGCTGATTCTGTTCTAAACTTTTTGGATTTCGGCATTCCCATGATGTATCCTTGGAAGGAAAAGATGTATAATAATAGGTTATTACAAGGATACCTCAAACTATGCACTCAGACAGTACGATAGTACAAGAGAACCATCCACATTTTCAACCATTTTTATCGCAAGTGTCGAAAAACTTGTGAATTTTATGGATTCAAATAAAATTAAGCTAGAATGGTTATTAATATATTCCCCAATGCTCTTTGAATTTTTATTTTTTTTATTTCAAGGTAAGAAATGACTAGTTGAAATTGCATCGATTTTAAGGTGACTATTTCACCGGAACAACTCTAGCAAATTATTGGAACACAGTCAATAGACATTCCAAACAATCAAAATTATTAATGAAAGACAAGATTTTTCTAGATATTTACAATAATACTGTCATACCAAACATATGCAAAATTGACAAATACACAAAGAGGTTAGGGCTAGGTTTTATTTTAGGCTTGGAAATATTTTCTTTCACTCAGCCCATGCATGGAACTACCATTTAGCTTTGTGGTCCTTCAGCTTGTCTTTGTCTTGGGGGAAAACAACAATAACTATACAAATCGTAAACAAAATTCAGGAAAGGAAACCCAGACAACCATGTCGTACTTGTGTTGAATTAGATTTTGTAGCAGTGCGTCATGTCAGAATGTTGTTTAAAATAAAATATTGAATCCCAGCCAAACCTAGGTCAATGGGTCAGATTGCGTGCATATAATTATAGACAGTTAAACAAAAAGTATTTAAACTTATGACGGCTATTCAACATCTATGAAAACCAGAAAGACAATTATAAGTCAATGTGAGCCTCCGAATTTTTTGGGTAGCATGAATTTCAAATGCGAGCGGGCGGTGGTATTTCTGTGTTTGCGCTGTCAAAAATAAACCGGAAATTGTTTGCTCGAATTAAACAAGCTGACGCAAAAGCGAGCAAAAAATAAATAAAAAACGTTTGAAAAGCGGAAGTGGGCGTGGGGTGGGGTTGGTCGAAATGAGTACTGTATCACAACATTTTCTAGTCACGTTGGTCACTATGCTATTATATAGTAATTGCACATACCAGCATTAATTCTAGAAACGTTGAAGATAGCACAGACGGATGGGTGTTTGCACAGCAACGATAAATCTAATTAGTGTAGCTGGTTAGCTAGATTACCTCACTTGTTAAAATTGCATTCCTACTTTGCAAATCTATGAGATACCATCTTCTGACAATATATACACCATAATATGTTGAGATTGTGGATGAGTTATGAGAAATTAACTGCGGAATATGAATTCACTTAGTTAAGAGACTTTATTTGTCCCTGAAAGGTCAGTTACATTGTAGGTAGGTTTCTAAAGGATAAGATCCTATAGGACTCTTGAAAATGAAATCATCTCGAAAGTACCAGATATCTATTTTTTAAATATTATATTTTTTATCTAACACATCATTTTAACATATTTTATGTTTCTAGCTATTTTTGGGAATGATGTGTCACATATTTGCAAAGTAGTGATGCACATATACTGATCACATATACAGCAGTTCACATGACTGTGGTATTTTAATTTGGGTCAATCTAAACATCAGCTGTTATCCCCAATCTTTAGCCATATGGCTTTATTCACTGGTATTTATTGCTGGCTATATATAATAAATTACCGGTAGACGACTTTCCTTCTTCAACCATACATCTGTATTCTGTAATCGGCTTTAATTTTGAGACAAGTGATTGCAGCAGTGAAAAATGTGTCTTGAGTTTTTAGTGATTAGTAAGAGATTCTTTAAAAAAAATTAAATTCCCTGGCAGTGAAAACAAATCAAGTAATATCAATGACAACTGCCTGCATAGTATCTCAGGTAAGGAATTTGTCTTCAAAGAGAAATGCAGGATGTGTGACCTTTAAGGGGTTCATACAAAGAACCAGGATGTATGACCTTTATTGGGTTCATACAAAGAACCAGGATGTATGACCTTTATTGGGTTCATACAAAAAACCAAGATGTATGACCTTTATTTGGGTTCATACAAAGAACCAAAATGTATGACCTTTATTAGGTTCATACAAAAAACCAGGATGTATGGCCTTTATTTGGTTCATACAAAGAACCAGGATGTATGACCTTAAAGAGCCAGGATGTATGGCCTTGGTGCTGAATTGCACGCAGTCACCAGGTTAATGTAGACACTTATACACACAAAGATCAGAACATAACATGTTGTAATAACAATTGTTGTTTTATTATTTACCAGGCTGAGGAGAGTATAAGTCAGGAGGAAGACAGCGTTAAAGTATGCAAAAGACGAGTGGAACATCTAAAAGATTATGATAGTTGTAATCCGGCCATTGTAGCTCAGTGGAAGAAAAAAAGATTGGATCGGATGTTAGTGGAATACTTCCTACGAGCTGGTTTTTACGACTCTGCTCTGAAGTTAGCAAGGCACAGTGATATTGAGGTAAGAGATGAGCACATTGGTGGTAGACTGGTTGAATCATGTCATAGTTCTGTTATTTCAATGCTAGATCAATAATGATTCTTCAAGCATGGATATTTCTTCAACAAAATAAATCAAAGATCTGGAGAGGAACATGCTTTTCAGTTTGAAAGTGTGGACTTGTAGATTCACTTCTGTGCATCTTTTTGTGTGTTTGACAGCACATGTATCTCAGGCTTACCTTAGAAACAATTTCATTCAAACTTCATGACACATATGCATATGCATTTGTTGTGTACATTATCATGATGAAAATCAAGAATTCTCTACCATTCCAGAACCAGATGTTGGTCATGGATGGAGAGATTTTGTTCAAAGGGCGGCCATTTTTACCTTGCCCGTACCATCAAAGATGGAAGGGAAAGGTATATTAAGGGAAAAATTTTGTCCGTCGTTGTTGTTGTTGTCGTCGTCGTTGTTAATAATTGTTATTGTGTGCATAATCTTTCCTGAGTTTGAACAACAGATGTCCTGTATGAAAATATCATGCAAAAATTGAGAAAATCTGATAAAATATTTTGACTGTTTCTACTTGACCGATCACTGGAGATACACATCAAAGGTCACTGATCTCAGTGGAAATATGCATTGTTGTATGTGTTCAATGAAGCAAATGATTTATCTTGTAATAATATCCCTGGTAATGTATCTCAGAATCCCATACTGGGTTTCCAAACCAACTCATGGAGAGATTGCACAGTCTGATACACATTTGCAAACCTACCAATAAAATCTTTACAGAAAACAAGATGTCAGAAAATCAATATAAGCACTCCTATGAACTGGGTGCCTAACTTTGATCAAGATCTGGAGCTAATAGAAAATCTGTTTAATTCAAAGTTATCAAATTTAAAAACAATACATAAAAAATACATTAAAAGCAAAACATTTCATCCACATTTTAAAAAGAAAATTATTCTAAAATACATGTATTCTGTATTTGACAAACAGTTCATTCGACAAATGAAAACTCGCAGGGATATGTTTCAGCTATTAGAACAGAATGATAGAGTTTTTATAATACTAGTTTAAAAACGCACTTCACTATTGTCTGTTGACTTCTCCCTCCACTGGACACCAACTAACTATTTATAGTGCCTGTGAAATTGCTGCTATTTTCACGCCTAAAATTGTCCATTGATACATAAATATTATTAATTTTTATGTTTCTAAGCATGAATTATTTTTTTATGTGAAAAAATGTGTTTTAAACTCAATCTACGGCAACTTTATTTTTGTGTTATTTTAAAACGAGGCTACTCATTAGCTTCTTATTTGCATACAGAAATTCCTCTTGTGACGTCAGAAGGGGAAGTCGCATGGCAGCTTGCATTGCCGATACGTGTAAATAAGGCAAATTTCTTGTGCAGTTTTCTCGTCTTTGACTAAATTTTCACTTATGTACTTGTTCGTCGAGGAGGAATGGACCATAATGAACACATAGTATCAATTTTTGTTGCATGGGGTTGAGTTAGATGCGAAATATGTCCGTGCTGGTGTAGCTGATCACCGTGATCGTCACCGACACCGGCGCACGTTTATACACTGTCGCTGGACAAAAGAGAATTTGACGTCGGAATTATCTCGTTATTTAGCAGGTCACTAGGCACGTCACTACACTGTTCTTTTTCATCGATCGTCTGAGTAAAACTTTTAAAATTAAAATAAAAGAGAACATATTTTGACATTCTAAACATTAGACTATAGTGATCACTATAAAATAATTAAAAAAAACGACAAATCACAGTTATTAAATAAATGACAGCCGCGTGAAATAAATTGAAATTT